TGTTGAGAGAAGACTTGCTAATTCGAGAGTCATGTCTACTCTTGTTGGAGCTCAATGGTCTTAGTGCTACCTCGGAGAAGCATGAGGTTGGGTGGAGCTGAACTCCCATTGTATCGGAGGCAGCAGTTTGACACAGACCAAAAGTTGCTGTGGTATGGAACCACAATAACGAAATCCCGCAAAAAAACAACCTAAAGAAGCTTAAAATCTATTAAAAGAAGCTTCAACTAATAAGTTAATTGGTAGTTGACAGGGGACAACGGGGTTAAAGGGTGTTTTGTATCAGTTTCTCACCTCTAATTCTCGTAGATATGTTGGGTGTGTTTGTTGTAAGAAAAAGAACGGATGGGATTAGGAGTTTATTTCTCATTCTCTTCGAGGGCGGTTCAAGCCAATTTGAGGCATAAAGTAGAAACATTAAATGGAGGTCTTTTTATTTTGAATATTATTTTTTTAAAAATAATAATTTATTTTTAATTTTCTATGTGAGAGGAAGACAAAAGAAGGATGTGTTAATATTGTCAAAAAAAATATTTCAAATTTTATTTTTGTTTTTAATCACAGAGAGGGAGTAAAAGTGTTTAATTTTAACTTTATTTTTTATTTTTTTTTATCGAAGAGAGAGAGAAAAAAAAAAGTGGGTGGGAATAAATATGAGTTGACTTTTGAGTATTTTTTTATTTTTTTAATTTCTAAGTTTTTAATGTTATAAATTGGATTATAAACTTAAATTATTGTAATAAAAATTTTGATTGGATTTAATATTTTTGGGCTTTTTTGTAGAGCTTAAAATTTAATGGATTTAATTTTTTTTGTGAGCTAATAATGTATCTAAAATTATAGGACCTTCTAAAAATTTGGAGTCTAAATCCTATACCTTTTTACTTTTCATTTTGTTGGGCCAGCCCTGATCCTCTCAAACGCCATGTATATGAAAGCGCCATAATTTAATGTCTTTTTCAATCTTATACCATTTTTGACTTGCGATTTTTACATTACATGTGGGTTTCATATAACAATAATGATTGTATTTGGTAATTGGCTTAAATATCATCTTTTTGATTAAGATTAATAGACACTTGAAAGACCAAGGCATTAGAAGGGTCAATACTGTCATTTACTAATCAAGTACCACTATTAATTTTTTACCTTATTTTAATACCACCTCTTATGGGTGTTAGATATAGTCATGTAGATGGGTTTAGTGCAACTGTTCTAAAGGAATCGATATTAGAGTTTAAAAATTAGTAACTTATTAAAAATGATAAACAAAAAAAAAATATTAATGAGTCTTGTGTACTATTTTTCCAATCGGACCCTCTTATACCACTATTATACCCCAAACAAGTACGCCCATTATTTTTTTGCCCTGGATTTTGTACTATTGTTAAGCTGGTGACGGCATAAACTCCAGTATGGCACTCCCTTCTTTTCTGGATTTTTTGATTTAAGTGGTGTATACGTTGAAAAATCGGTTCATATACTCGAGATTTGTCTTTAATTTTATTCGGACTCACGTGCCTAAACGATATAAACGTATATTCATTTGTTGGGAACAAATCAAAAATTTCTCTGGTTATCCCAAAAACAAAATTTTTAGGAGAATTTAGTGATGACTTAATGGGTATTGTCCAACCAAATCGTCGTTGGATCTAAAAATTGTGGGTTCAAATCTTATCCATCTCTCCCATCTACAAACTCTTAAAAAAAAAAAAAATTATTAAGCCTTGTTGGATTTGTGATTCAATGATTTAATGATAAATGATTAAACTCGAGAAGTGGCGATAAAGCTTAGAATAAAAATATGAGAGAAGCTAGATACCATTTTCGTCAAGGTACACGTTTTTCATTTTTTCTCTCATCGCAGGCCTATCAAAATGGAACTGTCCTCACAAGTACATTATATCCAAAAAGGTTGCTATTTTCTATAGCAAGAATACAGAGGACGTCGGTGGGGATGAAGACACCGATGATGGGTTAGGTCCCCACCGACAGTGACTCAGGCTAAAGGTGGACTTTACAATAACTACTAGTATCAAAAGTCTACAACTACGGCTGCACCCAACACAACACAAGGTTAATCGGTTATAAAGACAAGAAGTACACAAACCCTGGCACAATTCTATTTTTACATGTGTTGTTGTAATAGCTGTAAGAATTATTTATTGGGCTGTTTAGAGTTGATTTTTTTGGTGTGAAATAAAGGTTTAAAAAAAATATATATAAAACATTAGAGTTAAAAAAATTATTGGAGTCGTTTGGAGTGTTTATGAAAAAACCGACTTTTATTTAAATGCCTTTGGATAAGTTCATTTTTTCAACTTCTCCTTAGTATTGATAAAAACTATTTTTGCCCAAAAATAATTGATTAAAAAGTCATCTTATAAGCCCGGGTTCAAACAGACTAAGATACTTTTTTTTTGAAACCAAAAAAAAATTTAGGTTTATAATCAACTCCAAACAAGCTTATTGTGATGCCGGTGTTACGGGTTTGAGTTTCGAAACGATTTCTGCATAAAAAGGGTTAGATTGCGCGGATCTGATACCCTTTTTTTACACTTGTTTAAGCACAGATCGCTTTTGAATTTTCTTAGTCTGGATTAAGTGGTCTCTGGCATTAGAAGTTCATAGCTGAAAACTCCATGGCTTAAACATTTATATAGTTGATCAAATGATGGTCTAAATCTTTCATATAATTTAGACTAAATATTACAATTAGTCCTTAAATTTTACCTCTAATTTTAAAATAGTTCATAAATTTTTAATTGTCTCAATTTAGTTAATCAATTATCACTTTTGTGTCAATAAAGTAATTCCGGCCATTTTACCCATTAGAACAAACAGAATTACATGATGTGAATGATCACTTGACAAATATATAAACTTACCTCTATTTGTTCTAACGGATTAAATGGATTGAAAAATTCTATTGACATAAAATTGATAGTTAAGAGATTAAATTGTGATAATTAAAAGTTAAGATATTATTTTAAAATATGTGTAAATATTAAAAACTAATTATGATATTAACTTTTTATTTTATCCAGCACTAGCAATGCTGGGAGACCCATTTGCCTTTGTTTATTATTATTATTATTATTTTTTTGTGTAAATTATTCGGTGTCCGGTAGTCATAATGGACTCTGACTAATTCGAATTCGAATTAGGTAAGACTACAAGGACGGCAAAACTCTCCCTACCAAGTATTTAAACATAATTGCATTCTTAAGTCTCGAATGAAAAACTTTAATTAAGTTAGAATAACTCAAGTTAATTGATCTACGCTGTGGGTGGTATTTGCCTTTGTTTATTTGTCAATGTGAACTCAACGACCAAGTCTCTGTCAATGTGTTTTTACTTCCTTCCCTTCATCTCATCAGCCCCAACAGCGTTCAAATCAAAGCTCTTCTCTCTTCTCTGTCTCTCTCCGCGTCTCTTGCTAACACTTGTATTATATTGTTCCTAGTGGTGACTTGTTTTTCTTGGTCATTTTGATTACCAAAATCTTTTGGGTAATAAAATACATTTTTAGTTTTTAAAGTATATATTTAATGTCTATTTGGTCTATAATCTTTCAATTGTGTCTATCTGATCTTTAAGGTTTCTAATTTGTATCTACATAGTCCAATTTCAAACATCTGTCAAAAAATTGTAATGATTTTGATCACGTGTCAATCATGTCTAGAGATGACAACGAATTGAGGCGAGGGCAGGAAATAATTTTCATCCCCGTATCTGCTTAAAAAATCTTCATCTATCCTCGTTATCGAAGCTAATTTTAATTTCTATTCCCGTCCACAGATAAATTTTAATTTTCGCACCTAGCCTCCGCCACCCGACCCCCACCTTCACCCTGACCCCGCTCCCGCCATCAAGAAACCAAATTCCTTTCAAACATTTCCCTCAAATATCTTGCAAGCAAAAACCAAATCATTTTTTACCAAGAGTAAGGTAAATTTATGCCACCAATATATACATAAATGCATAGAAAGTAAAATCAAATCTCACCTAAGATCCAAAAAACCCAAATCATATTTAGAAGGAAAAATTGGGGGATAAAATCTGGGGGAGAGAGAGTGAAATTTGGGGGAAAGCCCTTGACTTTGATAGAATTGGGGGATAAAAATCTAATTTCTTGTGTCTATTTGGATAAAAATTCAATTTCTTATGTCTTTTATGAGATAGATATAATATATATATTACGTGTTTTACTGGGGTGGGGGCGGGAGTAAGTGTCAGTTTATCCCCGCCTTCATTCTTGTACGCGTATATATAGGTATTTTTGTATATATTTATCGTCAAATACGTAAGGTTCATCCCCGCTCCAAACGAGATAAATTTTTGTTTTTCCGTGATCCACTACCATCCATAATCAAGTCGTTCCTAATTTTGTTTGTTTGGTCCCAAGAAATTTTAATTTGTATGTATATGGTCCATAAAATTTTTAATTTGTATCTATTTGGTCCCACATAGAGCGTGTGACCAGAGTTGTTAACGATATTCTAGCGAACATTTGTTATTGAATCACGTAAATACAAATTAAAAATTTTAGGGACTAAATAGACACAATTGAAATATTAGGGGACCAAACAGATGCTAAACACAAACTTTGGAGACCAAAAATATATTTTATCCCAATCTTTTTCTTGGCCATTTTGATTACCATAATCTTTTTCTTGGTCATTTTGATTACCATAATCAAATTATTGTTTTCCTTTCAATGCCTTTTTTTTAGGAAGTGTTGACTTCTAGTCTACTACAAGTCTCGCTCTCTCTCTCTCTCTCTCTCTCTCTCTCTCTCTCTCTCTCTCTCCCCCCCCCCTCCTCAACAAGCCCTAAAAAAAAAGCTTAATAATAATCGTACGTCTATGCTGTTGATCCCTTTTAATGACTATACCCTTCTTCTAGTGAGATTAACCAACTCACTATTCTCTTTCAATACCCTCATTGCTCCCCCCCCCCTCTCTCTCTCTCTCTCTCTCACACACACACACACAAACATGACCAATTCAGAAACATCCTGCAAGTGTTTTTCAGGCGCCATACGCCGGCTGCTATGCACCAGCAGTCTCCCAATCCCAACACACCCCTCTGATCACTTTAATGTATCAAACACAACCGATTCCAATCTTCACAAAGAAAAACCTCTGCCAACGACTGAGCCTCTAGTTCAAGCCCCAGCCACCATAGGAATTGTGGCAAGACTAATGGGTCTAGACCCATTGCCAGATTTCACCTCCGTTCCAAAACCAAGAACTCTCGAATCAATGCTGCGAAGCAGGTCTGTGAATTATGTAGATTACTTACCACAATTTGATCTGTCACAAGCGCAGCATCGAAGAGTAAGAACATCGGTGTCATTTCGCGAAGTTCCGGTGTTCATAGATGCACAAGATCATGAATTCTTTGTACTGTACTCTAGTAGGAGAGGGGTTGAAACCATTAAGGGGGGATTGAATGTGAGAAAAGCTGATGTGGGGAATCAAGAACTGAGGCAGAAAAAGGTGGAGGGAAGTATGAAGAAGAAGAAGAAGAACATGAGAGAGAGTGTGTGTGTGAACAAGGAGAATCAAGAGAACAATAAGAAGTCCTATAAGAGAAAGGAGGATCCAAAGAGGGTCTCTGGTGAATCTCCTTCAAGAGTTGGCAATGGTGTGCCTCAAAAGAAGAATCTTCCCAGAAAACCGAGGGAAACTTTGGAAGCGAAAAGCCCGGTGAAACGTATAAATCCCAAAGAAGTATCTGTTGGATCTAAGTTTACAACGAAGAAGAAAACGACTAGATTTGGAGCTAAGAAAGTAGAACCAGAGCCTTCTTGTATCTCAGAAAATTCAAGTACAGTTTCAGTCCCAGATTCTCCAAAAAACCTTGAAGGCCCTATGACAGGTATGCATGTTCTTAAACTTGCACAACCCTGTATATCTGTTTTTTAGTTTATATGTCAGGTTGTTTGGATTAGTTTACGTATACCTCTTTGATTAATTCTGTCTTCGATCTGATAAAAAATATATCATTTACATCAAAATTAGAGTATCCTATCTCTAAAGGGTTGCTAAGATTCAAATTAAGAACATCTGAATTTACATTTAGACATCTGAATTTATATTTCGTCGTTGTTATCATCTAAGCCATCCCTTGGAGTTCAGCAACCTGTATATCTAAAACATTATTGTATTTGTTGTTTTTACAAGGTAAGATCAGTCATCCAAATTATATATGTTCTTTTTTTATATGCCAATCTAGAAGAAGATTCAGGGCTAATGGGTTTGAATCCAAAGAAGAAATCTTCACCAAAAATCACCAACTATGACTACCCATGTCCAAATCTCCTTCGAAAGTCATCACATACAGAGGATCATCATCAAGAACATAGAGTAATCAGTGGTGAAGCTGACAAGCCAGTTAAGAGTCAAGAGAGTGATTACTACACTAAACTTCTCAGACAGATGTGTATATTAACAGAAGAAGATTTGAAAGAGTCTAACTGGGTAGCAGGGGAAGTCTCAAAGTTTGAAGATATTGAAGAGATATGCCTCCATTTTGGTCAACAAATTCTAGAACAACTGTTGACCCAAGTCGTTCATGAACTTGTAATGCTTCACTGAAGTAAATTTAGACATGTAATTCTCACAAAAAGCTATTGACAAAAACTTGTTACAAAGTTTAGATTAATTTTCTCTCCTTTTCACTCTTTTTTTCCTTGCTTAAGTGTGAACTCGAAGTATAGTGTGAAATGAGTTTGCCGACTTCGTTCAGCAGTTTCTCAGATCAGCATTATATAGGGGCTTTCACGTGATGGCTGACTATTGGTCACCCAACCTGTTAGCTCTGATTTCAAAATTAACTGTTGGACTTTTTTTTTTGTTAGTTCGACTAATCTATTCTTTAATTCGCATAAAAATAGGTCATTCATGTCGAAATTAAGATATTTATGAGGAATAAATAACTTAATCTCAAATAATTGTCAAAATACGAACTTAAGACGTCTAAATTTACGGTTCGTCTTTATTACTGAGTTCACAACAGCGACAAAAATACCCACAAATATGATAAACCACCCACAAAAGTGATAATTTTTTTATATCAAAAAAAATTAGTAAAAATAATTATTAGAACAGTGATAAAAACNTCATCTTAAAACCCTGCATTTGAATTTTTTATGCGGGTTAACAGCGACACTTCATGTGATCCTGCAACAGCCGAAGCAACTTGGGGAACCATTATTAGATACAATAGGACATCATGGTGGATGGCCTGATAAAGAAGTTGAAAGCAATTTTGGCCATACAGGGTGAATCCTTGGCTGTGAGGCAAGCCTGTGCAATGGTTGAAGCTCTCCATTTATAACAGTCTGTAACGATAGTGATTGACAGTTTGCAAAATGATTGAACTAAGCATCAGAGAGGATGACCCTCCAAGGGAAATTTGCGCAATAATTGAGGACATAAATATTGGCCATTGCGCAACACTAACTCCTATCCCTCCCAGCTCCAACAAGCAAGTCCCTTGCACAGTGTCCCAAATTGGAACAGGGAAACCATCCTGCAGACTAGATCTATACTCCCCACTGCAGTTTTCTTATCTCCTTTTTCATGGCATTTGGTTATTTTCTTTTTGTTTTTCTCCTTTGTAGCTGATTTTGAAAGTCAAGTAAACTATGAAAGAGAAAAACTAAGCTCCCAATGTCCTCAATGAATACATAAACAAGGGCATAAACAAAGCCAAAAAACATGTCTGACAATGTTTTCATAGGCAAATTTTTTTTTGTAACAATTGACNAACAGTGATAAAAACACTCATAAATATAATAAATCATCTGTAAAAATTATAAAAACACTCATTAAAATATTAAAATTTAGAGGTACAATAGCAAAAAATTTTCTTCCATACCGTAGTCAAACCCTTAACTCTTTAACTCAAATACAATCCATTTGCAGTCTCTATTCGTCCTTTGTACATATTGCGAACCAAGAATTCGAGGAGATACACGTATTAATTTGGTTAATCTGATACATCAACACGATTATAAACGGAACTTGCTTAACGAAATTATATTTTATTAATTCATGTATTTAAAATTGTTAACGTTCAACTACATGTGTCTTGATGATTTAAGTTGAATTGATATTAATTTTTTTTTGATATTGAGACTCGCGGCTAGAATCATAATTCCATAAGAGGTTCGATAAATCATAATTAGTGAGTGATTGACAAATACTTATGATAGAGTGTTCTGCGCGGTTGAGCAGAGGTGAATGGTTTGAAAATCTTGTTAAGGACGTTGATAGAATTTACTAGGATATTCAATCAGAGCTTCTAAACTCTTGAGGGTTGAAGAATCGATTTAGGAGCTAACGGATACAAATAGAGATCAGTAGACTAGGAATTTATATTGATTCACCAGTTCAAAAACTTGACTAGTCCACTCTAATAAAGTCTTTTACTTTTCGAGAAATTTTTTATTATTTGAGAAAGAAGATTACAGGAATACATATATCTTTTGGTATAGATGTTTCATCCCTATTTATAGTATAAAATTGTCTTGCGTGATCTTTGCGCAATCTTTGTGCACCCCGTAACTAATGCGATCCTTGAGTAATCGGCGTGATCCCTTTGGAGTTGTTATGATCCATGTGGCAAAATATTTGGCCTTTAGAAGTTATGTTCTTTAGTCGGGACATGACCTTTTGAAAAATATGAACAATCACTGTCACCGTGTGCACGAGGATCACGCTGATGATAATTCCCGACTTACGCATTCCGAGTTAATGATTATGAGCTGAAATGTCCAAGTTAATATGTCCTATCTAAAGGGTCCAAACTTAGTCTTAATCAATTATTGGTATAATCAATTAAAATTGTGTTTGACATAACTTCTCAACTATTCTCTGCAATGATGTCCATATGAAATGCATTTGAGAGCATAAAAAACTCAAGATTGTTCGGAGAGGCAACTTGACCCTACCGTCCCTCCCAGGCATTCATTAGTAATTTTTTTAATATTGAGACTTGTGGCTAAAATCATAATTCCATAAGAGGTTCCATAAATCATAATTAGTGGGTGATTGACAAATACTTATGATAAAGTGTTCTACGCGTGAATGGTTTGAAAATCTTTTTAAGGATGTTGATAGGATTTACTAAGATATTCAGTCAGAGTTTCAGTGATCAATAAATTAGGAATTTATAGTTTTTAACCAATTCAAAAGGTTGACTAGTCCTCTCCGATGAAATCTCTTGCTTCTGGGAGAATTTTCTATTATTTGGGAAAGATGGTTGTAGGATTATATGTATCTTTTGGTACAAATGCTTCATCCCTCTATTTACAGTATACAGTTGTCTTGCAAGATCTTTGCGATCCACCCATAATCAATGAGATCCTTGTGTAATTAACATGATTCGTTTGAGATTCTTACGACCCATGTGATGGAATATTTGGTCATTAAAAATTACGTTCTCTAATCGTGATATGAGCTTCTAAAAAATATGAGCAACTACTATTATCGTGTGCACGAAGATCACGTTGGTGGTAATTCCCAACTTGCACCTTCTGAGCTAATGATTCTGAGCTGACATATCCGAACTAACGTGTCGTATCTAAAGGGTCCAAACTTAGTCTTAACCAATTTTTTGGTATAATCAATTTAAATTGTGTTTCTCAACTATTCCGTGCAATGATGTCCCAATGAAATGCATTTGACAGCATAAAAAACTCAAGATTGTTCGATGGGGCAACTTGACCCTACAGTCCCTCTCAGGCATTCATTAGTATTTTTGCTAAGACTTTGTTGCATTTGAATTCAAACTAAAATTCGTTAGGTGGATGATGCATTCAAATATTAGTCGTACAATTTTCATCCCCTTATTGTTCCTCTGTCCATGAGAGCATGATAGACTGAGAGATTAATTTTGGCCCATGTCTTATCTTTACGTACTTGATATATAAAGAGGATTGCGTTGATTCAAATTTATTTTACCCCAATTTCTCAACAATTAGCGTTAGGTCCTAAAAAATATTTATAAACCCAAGACCCTACCCAAAAATATTCAATATACTTTTCTCACATTTTCACTGGAGCGACTCAAGGTAATTTAAGACTTAAAGTGGAAACACTAAATGAAATCTTTTTATTTTTACTATTAATTTTTTTAATTTTTTTTTATGTTAAAGAGAAAGAAAAAGAATGTGCAAGTAGAGTTTTTAGCTTTTGTTTTTGTCTTTTATGAGAGAGAGAGAGAGTTTTGATTTTAACTGTNGCACCCCGTAACTAATGCGGTCCTTGAGTAATCAGCGTGATCCCTTTGGAGTTGTTATGATTCATGTGGCAAAATATTTGGCCTTTAGAAGTTATGTTCTTTAGTCGGACATGACCTTTTGAAAAATATGAACAATCATTGTCACCATGTGCACGAGGATCACGCTGATGATAATTCCCGACTTACGCATTCCGAGTTAATGATTATGAGCTGAAATGTCCGAGTTAATATGTCCTATCTAAAGGGTCCAAACTTAGTCTTAATCAATTATTGGTATAATTAATTTAAATTGTGTTTGACATAACTTCTCAACTATTCTCTGCAATGATGTCCATATGAAATGCATTTGAGAGCATAAAAAACTCAAGATTGTTCGGAGAGGCAACTTGACCCTACCGTCCCTCCCAGGCATTCATTAGTAATTTTTTTAATATCGAGACTTGTGACTAAAATCATAATTCCATAAGAGGTTCCATAAATCATAATTAGTGGGTGATTGATAAATACTTATGATAAAGTGTTCTGCGCGTGAATGGTTTGAAAATCTTGTTAAGGATGTTGATAGGATTTACTAAGATATTCGGTCAGAGTTTCAGTGATCAATAAATTAGGAATTTATAGTTTTTAACCAATTTAAAAGGTTGACTAGTCCACTCCGATGAAATCTCTTGCTTCTGGGAGAATTATTTATTATTTGAGAAAGATGGTTGTAGGATTATATGTATCTTTTGGTACAAATGCTTCATCCCTCTATTTACAGTATACAGTTGTCTTGCAAGATCTTTGCGATCCACCCATAATCAATGAGATCCTTGTGTAATTAACATGATTCGTTTGAGATTCTTACGACCCATGTGATGGAATATTTGGTCATTAAAAATTACGTTCTCTAATCGTGATATGAGCTTCTAAAAAATATGAGCAACTACTATTATCGTGTGCACGAAGATCACGTTGGTGGTAATTCCCAACTTGCACCTTCTGAGCTAATGATTCTGAGCTGACATATCCGAACTAACGTGTCGTATCTAAAGGGTCCAAACTTAGTCTTAACCAATTTTTTGGTATAATCAATTTAAATTGTGTTTCTCAACTATTCCGTGCAATGATGTCCCAATGAAATGCATTTGACAGCATAAAAAACTCAAGATTGTTCGATGGGGCAACTTGACCCTACAGTCCCTCTCAGGCATTCATTAGTATTTTTGCTAAGACTTTGTTGCATTTGAATTCAAACTAAAATTCGTTAGGTGGATGATGCATTCAAATATTAGTCGTACAATTTTCATCCCCTTATTGTTCCTCTGTCCATGAGAGCATGATAGACTGAGAGATTAATTTTGGCCCATGTCTTATCTTTACGTACTTGATATATAAAGAGGATTGCGTTGATTCAAATTTATTTTACCCCAATTTCTCAACAATTAGCGTTAGGTCCTAAAAAATATTTATAAACCCA